GTTTATTTCTCGCCTTTGTTCCTTTAGCGCCTTCAGTGCTATTTACATCTTCCCGAGGGCCGGTACAAAACCTACCTGAAGCCTTCTATTTTGTCTTCCTTTCACATTTTATTTTATCCAATTTACTCTTCTCAAGACTCTCTAGAGCAGATCTCTGTAAATACAGAGCAATACCCACCTACCATGGCTGCTAAAATCAGTGGCTAGTTCCTACAGTACTCTTGTTCAATTACTTCTTTACGTAAAAGTAACAGCCCTCACACATTCCTTCATGCCATGGTTGACTTGAAAAACAAGGGCTCCATGAGGGATTTATTTTCCTCCAAGAAGTAAACTATAGTGTCTTTTATGCCAGAGTTCCTCTCAACCACCAAGGAAGCAAGTACGGCGTAGGCTCAGGGAACTGACTGGATTCTACCCAAGTGTAAAAGGAGATTCCGATACCGACTGTCACATTCCTATCTGGGCACTTTCTCTCCCCGGATACACCAGCAGAACAACTGTGTTACTCCAGTTCTTTTAATGGCAAGTAGGAAGTAGATGAGCAGCTCTAACATGATATTGAGAGGCTGTTGTACTTCAAAGACAACTTAGTAAAAACTCCTCATAGGAAGTGTTGCTTTCCTGCTTGACAAGGCCAAGGGGAGGCAGTGGAAGTTGTCACCAGGGTGGTTCACCCAGGAACAGCTGTGACTGTTCTGTCCTTTCCCACCTCCCAAGGTGTGAACCCTCATGGCAGGAAGGGGTGAGGAAGGTTGGGTGTGTGAAAGGCGTCTGTTTCTCCTGAGAACCTCTCTTTTCCCACCAGTTGGCAGCACGTCCTCGTCCCCGGCTCTGCTGGGGATCAGGGAGCCCCGGCCGGAGTACGACAGGACGCACCCCTCTCTGCAGTATTACAGTAGCCAGGGCGATGTCATGGCACATAAGGACATCTACACTGGTAAGGGACCAGCTGAGAGCTGGGAACTGCACTGGGGAAAGGCTCCCTGGGGGAGGAGTTCAGTCACAGGCACTTCCAGTAGTGGGCTGGTTGTATCAACTGTTGCTTCCCATTTCCACTGGTTGTATTTGGTGCTGTGGCACAGGGCAGGGTGTCACCTGGCTCTGCTGATCTGTGTAAAACTGCACTGGGACCAGAGTAGATCCCTTTGCATACTGGGAGGTGAGAGGTGGTTGGAATTCTTATTTTTATTTCAAGTACTATTACAGAAAATTGTTTTATTCACATTATACGATGATGTTATAAATTATAACATGCAGTTGTATATTATAACATTATATTACTAAATTATACCAAAAGATCAGAATCTTTTCTCTGATATCTCTTTTTCTTCTCACTATGTGACACAAGTTGCACACTAGTAGATGATTGTCTCTAAGGAGAAGGAAATGCCTTGTTTTAAACATTATGAATCTGTAAAACAAAAACCAGCAACAAAAAAAAGCCTCTTGGCTTCACTGTAACTGCTGCTGAGGGACAACATTTGCCTTTATTCTGTTATTACATTTTATATATATCTACATTAGTAGATGCTAAAATCTGCAGATTTAATTGTTTGAGTGCTACATAATAGGCAAAATAGAAGCCAATAGACTTAAGAGGTGGAAGAATAAAGACTGAAGTTTATCCTTAAACTGTTTTCTGCCAGGTTCCAGCAAAGCTTCCCCAATTTACATCAGTTCCTATTCCTCACCAGCGAGAGAACAGAACCGACGGCTGCAGGTGAGCCCAGAGCTGCCCAGGCTCAGCAGGGGGCTGTGGCTCTGGGCACTGCCCTGTCCCAGCCCCGGGGCTGCTGTACCTGCTCTCTTACGAGTTCTCACGGTGGGGTCCGAGACCTCTGCTCTGATTTGATTTGGGCTTGGGGGGGTTCGTAGGTATGGTCAGGTTCTGTACCTCCTACACCTGCGCTCTGAAGTTGTGCTCCCTTCCCAGGGGTGTGGGAGGAGACATGCAGCAGGCTCAGGGAAATGTACCACTTCCTTGGGTACATTTCATGGAGGTTTGAGACCTGTGTTACTGTCAGTGATAGAGCTGCACTTGGGAAAGGTTCTTTACAATGTGTGTGAGTTTGAGAAACAAGTATTTTCTCTGTTGATTATACCTTGAAAGCTTATTTTTCTATCATTTTGCCAGCAGCATCAGCAGTTATACTACAGCCAAGAAGATACCACCAGGAAAAACTACGATGCCTACCGGTTGTACCTGCAGTCCCCACACAGCTACGAGGACCCCTACTTCGACGACCGAGTTCACTTTCCTGCTGCTTCAGATTACACAACACAGTATGGACTGAAATCAACCACCAATTATGTAGACTTTTATTCCACCAGACGATCTTCTTACCGAGCAGAACAGTACCCGGGCTCCCCTGACTCCTGGGTGTAGCACCAGAGAGAACAACCCAGCGTGGTTCTCATCTGGCTCGAGAAGGACTGGAACGGCCCCGAGTGGCTTTGGTTACGAAATGAGAAAGTGAAAGACAAGAAGGAACAAGGAAGATTTGTTTTGGGGTTTTTTTGAGAGAGGAATTGTCAGGAGGAAAACTGGCAGGGACGGTTTTGCTCTGTTTAGGTGTTAGGTATCATTACTTGTAGCTCCTGTAGTCTGGTGAGGGTGTGGGCGATGTGATGAAAGGTTTGAGAATTGAGTACAATGAATTTGGAAAGTGTGTAGGTCAGAGCAAATTAAAGCTGATTTTTTTTTATGTGAATAAAAGTCCTGGTCTGATAGTTTGTACAGAAAAAATCCGCCGGCTGCCCCTGTTTCCTCGCTATTACTAAATGTCAGGATTGTATGCTACTGCGTCGTGTACATTCTGCCTGCGTGTAAATATGGAAACGCCACCTCGGTCTCAAGTGCCATCCATTTGTAATGCAGTGTGTCATTGGAAAAGGAATCTGAAACATAGTGCACAAAAAGAAATCCAAGAGAAAAAAAGCCCAAACTTTAAAAAATGAATAGTGTAATTTTGAAGCACAAAGTCCGGTCCAGTACATCCACACCTCTCCCATTCCCTGCCTATTTCATAAGGAACTTCACTGCCATTTTCTATGCACATGGAATAACAATAAATATGGAAGTCTCATCCATGGAAAGCTGTTCCCTGTTCATTTTTTTCTTATTATTTTCTGTGTGTGATGTTCAGAAACAAATACCATGAACATGAATTCTAATTGTATGTTTTTCAGCAGGTTAAATATATCAAAGCATTTAGGCCATTTCCCCAGCTCTCTCCAGTGGAAATGTGTCAGGCTGGCAGCCCAAAGTGCTAAATCCTGCACCTTCCTACTGGGATTTGTGTATTTTTGATATGGGCAATCCAAGGTACTTCAGAACTGAAGCCTGTTTTCTTTCCATCACTCAACTCCTCCCTTTCTTCTCCCCAAGGAAATGAAGGTCCTCTTGCTGTCATAGAAATTACAGTCTCCATTTTGACTACATTCTGCTTGGGTTTCTTTCCAATAAAAATGTTTGATTATTTAAGTACCTAAATCACAAGCTCTCCTGGTTCTGAACAGTCTGTTGCCTCTATACTTTCTGTAACCACCATTATTGCTCCCCATCACTGCACTTCCCTTGGTTTCCCAGTGTTTCCAGTATCCTGATGGCACCAGTGACACGAGAGCAGGTAAGCAGAACAGCTCCAGGTTTGGGTGACATGGCAGATTCACTATTTCTATTGAAATAGGTCCTGCTAAGGACTAAGCATTTGCTCTTCCACTGTGAACTCTGACACTGCAAATATTTCAAAATAGACTCTTTCCCTATAGCAAAAGGATGTAGTAATTCAAAGAATGATGGTGTTGTGTGCTAAAGGACATTGCCAATGAGCATGCTCTGACTCTGCACACTAAATCTTCAGTGACATGGCTCATGCAAACAATGAAGACAACAGTTTCTCATCTGTTTGGAAAAAAATGCAGAGAGTGAAATTGAAAAAGAAAATTGAGGAATTAATCACATCTCAGCTCTACAGGGGGATGCGAGGACAAGCGTGGGAACATGAATACTTTATGGAGTTTTCAAAGCAGAATGCAACAGTTTCTTCAGAGATACCATCCTATGTACCTGCCCATTCTGTTGTTGAACACCGGCATTCATCCATCAGACTAAGGGTCGGGTTCTCCTTCTACGTTCAAAGCATTTCTTTCTGCTCAAACCACACGAAGAGTTGATTCAACTCCTACACTATACCTAAAGATATGGGGACTGCCCCCACAGCATGAAGGTGGGCAAGTTACCTTGTCAGCTGAAACGTGAGGTGCTGCTCACAGCCCTTCCAAACACATTTTCCAGCTCACTGACATCCCTCCAAGGATTATCCTGCCATCACACCTGTTTCAGGAAGCTGCTATTCCAATGGCACTTACTCCAGTAAGTGCCAACTTATAACCCCCCCCACACCAAGAAAAAGGTACATTTCTTGTTCACAAACAGGTCCACTATGACGTTTTGACTGTCATGTGCCTCTAGTGGCTCATCACTCTGACATAAAAAGTTGCTTTTCTGTGCTTGTGTAGAAAAAATCAACAGATTTTCTACAGTGATTGGAGCTGGCCAGCTCTGAGGGGTTCAACAGCACACGACACATACAAACTGCAAGATACTAAAAGATATTTTTCTTTCCTTTGCTTCCCACCATTTGACTCTTTTCTGAAGGTGAAGGTTTAAAGCCATGATAAACAGGAACAAAATGCAGGGGATTCTTGTGTTTAACCTTGAGGAAACAAATGCTGCTGTTATGATATGACAAAAATCATTAAATCTGTGCAATGTTTCCATGCAGCTCAGGGTGCTGCAATTGAATTCTTTAGAATTGATTCGCTTATTCCATTACCCAGTGATACTTTTTTAAACAAGGACACTTAGCTGGATAAAATACATGATGACAAAGATATATCTTTTTAGTCCTGTGAAAAAAAATTGACTCTATAACTAAAATTATCCAGTAAGGTTCTTCTCCTTAATGATATTACCCTTTACCTTTCAGCACCATCATACAGTGCCTGGACAATTCTTTGTCTCTTGTACTCTGCAAAACAACTGGCATCCAGATCAGAACCAGGTCTTGAACTTGTCAGGTCTCCTACAAGAAACAGGTAAGTTTTACAGATGTAAATCCTACAGATTTTGTCAGACACATAATATAAGCACTAGTGAACAATTATATCCATACAAACCCACTGACAATATGACTGCCTTCACTAATTGGTCTTGTCCATGCTTTAGACACTCAACAATAATGTTCTCTCTAACAGTATAAATTTTGTGCTGAACTACTATGAGCAGAAAATAAAACCCAGGGAGGGAGAATTAAAGCATGCTTTAATAAAAAACAATCCATATGCCTGCACCAGAATATAAAAATATGCCATATACCTGCACCAGAATTTTTGTTGTCTCCATCAGGCTCCTGCAGCATCTAAATCCAGCTCTGTTGATTCAATTGAAAAAGGTATTGCCTGTCTGTCACTGAACTTAAGAAAACAGCATTCAATTACCAGATGTAAAATTACTGTCAGTTTATACCAGTAGCCACAATCTAGTAATTCTGACGTTTGAAAACAAGCAATACTGGAGATAAGATGGATAAGGGAAAATACTGCAGAGTCAGGAGCAATAGATTTTTAATGACAGAGAGAGCTGAATTCAAACATGACACATGAGGAAGGTATTCCATATGTCTTTGTGCTGAGTGCTTGGTTTAGATGTGGACTATGCCTGGTGTATAATTATGCTAATAGCTGTTAGCCAGGTTAGATCAGACAGTCTGCTTGGGAGCATGTTGATTCTTGATCCTGCCAAGTGACTTCTCAGACTTTGCAATCAGGTAATAACCTGCCTGTAGAATGTAGATTCTAAAGGAGGAATTGTCAGGAAAGATGAGGAGTTCCAGAGCACTGAGAGCACCACTCAGGAAAACTTCCTTTGACTTTTGTCTCTTTATTACAGTTAAAATCCTGTATCTGCCCCCAGGCTTTCCTACATCTGCCTAGGTGGAAGGAAACACATTCTGAAAGTACGTAGAACCATTATAATAGAAATTCCATTCTTAATTCAGCCATTCACAGACTACTACCATTAAAAGAAATCTATCCCCAGCATCAGGTGAACACCTCTGAAGTCTGATATTTATGTGATCAGGAAATGGGACTGAGGGTGGCAGGAACAGCAAAAGATTTCAGCTGCACTATCCCATGGTCACAGAAGGATGGTTCTCTCACTCATTCTTCTCACCCAGACAAACCAGTCTAATAATTTCTAATACATGAAAGCATTACATAAAATCAGGCTTACAAATCTCATTTGGTGCTGTGGTATTGTTGAGGCAGTGCCAACGGCTGCCTGTCAAGAATGAGGTGCTCCAACAAGTACTGTGTAGATATTGTTTCCATTCACAACAGCTTCTGGTTTAAAGATAGTAACCAGTGACAGAGGTATTGAAGTCAAGAGGGCAGAAGAAAAATAAAAAAGAAATTGGAAACTGTATTTAATATTGTAAGAAATCCACAACATGAACTTATGATTTCTCATTTAAACCAAGTTCCCATGCTTTTCCCAGGAATTCCTGGAACAGATGTACAATGGCACTAAACCTTGTCATTACTAATGCTTTGGGCAGCATACCAAAGCTGTGTTACATGACTGCCTTGTGTGGTAAGTAATGAAACTTCACCTCTCCAATCCAAACAGCTCAGGTAAATAAACTGGAAAATCAGTATTTTTCTGCTGAGGCAGAGTGACATGAATATGAAAATCCCTTACTACTGACCAAGTCCTTCAGGATAGGCTTCTTTTGTTATCTCTCCTGCAGATCACTTTATCTGAAAGAATTTATTTCCCCAATCAAAATTGCCATCATGCACTTCAGGCTAAATGCTTATGGGCAGAGACATGCAGCTCTATTGACTTTAATATTTGCAAAGTAAGTTGCTTTTCTAGGGAGGAAATTGCTGCATTGCAAAGCTATTTCCTGCCTCATACACACAGAATTAAATATCAGATAGATCTGGTTTAGACTGGATGTCCTTTCACTTTTCCTGCTCCAAAAATCCAAGCCAACAGAAGTTACCCATGAAGGTGGTTGACGTGCTGTAAATCCCTACCAGTTTCTTACTCACTCTTCTCTTTCACGTTTTTTACTTCATACAAGGGAAATGTTGTACAATCACACATGAATAATCTGCTTGAGCCACCAATGCTGGGAAATTTCTACCTGAAACCTACTACAACTAATGATAGGTATTTTCTATATTAAGCAACAAAGAAAAATAATGGAAGTCTCTCAGTTCACAGCAGTTTTGGATGCCATTCTCATTGGGTATCAAATTTTATCGTTGATGATAAAAATATATGTTGCAAATATATGTTTAACACAAATGTCATTTTATGGACATTCTGTATTAATAAAGGGTGAAATTATGGTGCTGCTGAAGACAACGAGACTTCATTGTGGCCAAAGAGTTAATTTCATATCACAGCTTTTCAAAGAACAGATGAAATTCAGGTTACATTTTCTGAATGACAAAATTGGAGCTTTTGGCTGAAGTGATTAAATACATCATAATTAAAACGTTATGACAGGTGGCTTTTTTTTTAATAAATTCTGTGAAACATTTATACAGGTTAAGTAGTATAACTCCTAAGTTTGATGGGTTTGCTAAAGGCTACATTGTTGTAGTTTTGGAGTGTGACAGTAAGTTTTTACAGGCCTGGAAACAAAGGGGGGGTTGAAATTTCTTTTTTGCTATGTAACTCCTCACGGCAGAGAGAAATCTCTGTGTCTAACAGTGCCCTGGGCTGGATTTCAGAGTAAAGCCTCTCACTGGTAGGTTGCATGTGTTTTTTGCAGCACTGAGAGTGTTTTGAAACTGTCTCTCATTCTAAGGGGTTCTTTCTCCTACGTTAACAAGAGCTTGTGAGTATCATCGTACAGTTTTGTGTTATTGCCTAGAGATTAAGCTGCTTCTTTAAGCACCCAGGGCAATAATCAGTACTTAAGTCAGTTTTGTACACTGAAATGCAAGGAGACTCGCTTAAATTACTAAAGAATTTTATAATAAATTAATTGGATCTTTCATATGTCTTGTTCAAACTAACAAAGTTCAGCCTTTGTACTCCAAAGGATTTGGAAAACCTACTGACCACGCTTTATAACGTTGATGTGGCTTTGCCCAGCAGCTTTGTTGCTGTCCTTTCTTGGCACTTAAATCCTTCCTGCTCATGCTGTTTCTCTCCTGTATTTATGACATGATAGGTGATCGATATGTAAGCTATTGTATCTTAGCCAAAAATACATTTTCAGTAAGGTATAGGCAGCAGGATCACCAAGATAAAGATCTTTGAATGTGGATTATATGAGTAATGCATTAGTAATAAAAGATGGTAAAATCATAAGATAATATAGAAATAGGATGGTGAAATCAAAAACTAATGTAGAAATAGGAAGTATTGTGAGGTATTTTTAATGTTTACAAGTTTTGAGCAGATTCTTAAGAAAAAAGGGAAGGAGAATCATTTTGATAGCTGATGTAGAAAAAAAAAGGTCTTTGTTAGTATGTAATGATCAGAAGACTCAAACTGCTTATGATGACATCTTAGGGCCTTAAAACAGATAGAAAAAAATAATTTTTATTGCCTTTGTTGTGTAAAACATCAATCTTCGTTACTTTTTTTTTTAACGAGGGCATGTGAATGCCGTGTTTTGCTTCTGTCTCAAGTAGACACTAACGATTGAAGAGGGGAAGATTTACCTCACTGAATCAAGACCTTTGAATCCACAGCAATAATTTTAAAAGTCACCACCCCTCACTCTTCTCACCGCCCCTCACCGCCCTCAGCCCCCACCGCTCCTCACTCATCGCCCCTCACCACCCTCACGGCCGCTCACTGCCCCTCATGGCTGCTCACTGCCCCTCCCTCACCGCCCTCACGGCCGCTCACTGCCCCTCATGGCTGCTCACTGCCCCTCACTCATCGCCCCTCACCGCCCTCACTGCCCCTCATGGCTGCTCACTGCTCCTCACTCAGCGCCCCTCACCGCCCTCACGGCCACTCACTGCCCCTCACTCATCGCGCCTCACCACCCTCACGGCCCCTCATGGCTGCTCACTGCCCCTCACTCAGCGCCCTCACCGCCTTCACGGCCGCTCGCTGCCCCTCCCTCAGCGCCCTCACGGCCATTCATGCCCCTCAGCCACGGCTCACCGCCTTCGCGCCCCTCACCGCCTTCCCGCCCGCTCACCGCCCTCAGCGCGCTCCCGCCCCGTCCTGCGATGACGGCGCCACGGCGCGGTCCGCCCGGAGCGGGTGCGGTTCCGGCCGGGGTTCGGCGGCTCCCGGCCCGGCGGCCCGTTGACCGTCCCACCATGGCGCAGGAGGAGGCGCGTCCCTCCCGCAGTAGGCCGGGTCGTCCGGGGGCAGTGTGAGGGGCTCTCCCACCGCTCCGTCCTTGACAGACGCCTCCTCCGCGGGGAGCAGCGGCCGTGCGGGATACGGGGTGGCGGAGCGGTCCGTGGTGGCGCGCCCGCTCGCCCCGGCAGGCCCGCGTCGCCCCGCAGGTCCCCGCACCGCCGTGCTCTGGCGGCACTCGGGGTGCAGGGAGCTCGAGCTTGCGCCCCTTCAGGGGATCGGTGCAGCGAACGGTGGACAGAGCGGGCGTCCTGCTATAGTGAAATACCTGTTAGAGTGTGCCAGGCCCTAGTCCTCGCCTCCTGTCGTAACGTGAAAAACTTCCTCTCCCCCCTCTGGCGGCACTCTGAGGGAGCCGTCGAGCACGGCCGCCTGCTCCCGCCGCCGCGCTGCCGGTGCGAGGATTGTGTGGAGTAGTAGCGGGTTGTAAGGGGGCTGTAGCGAGTGTTTAAGCGCACGGCAGGGTTTTTGAGGAGCCTGTAGATGCGTACAGCGTGTGAGCAGCCCCTGGGCCAGGCCGGCAGCCGTGTGGAGCACACGAGTGAGTGCGCTGTGTCCCGCCTGCCCTGGGCACGGCGGAGCTGCTGCGGGCTCACCTGTGGGGCTGAGGGACAGGTACTGCAGGGACAGCCCTTAGAGCTGCTGCAGGCTCACCTGTGGGGCTGAGGGACAGCCCTTAGAGCTGCTGCAGGCTCACCTGTGGGGCTGAGGGACAGGTACTGCAGGGACAGCCCTTAGAGCTGCTGCAGGCTCACCTGTGGGGCTGAGGGACAGGCGCTGCAGGACAGCCCTTAGAGCTGAGGGACACTCACCACACGCACTGAGCCAGCTGGGTTCCCCCGGTGTATTAGGAGCGCTTAACTGTCTGAAGAGCACGGGCCTGGCTTGTGCGTCTCACTGTACCCCTAAGATGTGTTTTGTTTTCTTGAAAGTACTTTTTGTTCACTTTGGGGGGTTTAAGCATATTTTTACATGAATTTATGATATAAGTAGTTTTCTCAGCCTCCCTTTCCTGGATTTCTGTGTGTGGCAGGGGCGGTTGGGCCGTACCTGAAGGGGCCTTTACGCCACTGCAGTCAGTGACCTGGGGCAGGCACGGCCTTCCTGGGTTTCCATCACAGTAAACTGCAGCTTGTAGTCTTGCGAGTCTGCAAGTAAGTCTTTGTGAGGCGTATCTGTGACTGCAGTGGGGACAGCTCTGGCAGAGGGGTGGGGTGGCAGGAGTCAGTGATTTGAACCATGCATGTAGTGAGCAAGGCGGTTCAAGTGGGCACCTTTGTTCTGACAGGGATTCAGCTGAGCTCAGTGCCTTAGTTTTCAGTGGGCTTTATTTAGTCTGGGTGTGTTGGGTTTGGTTTTGTGTTGTGGGGTTTTTGTTTTTTGATTTGGGGTTTGGGGTTTTTTTTTGGTAGGGGGCATAAAGGGGGATGTTCCTTCTTAACTTTCTTTTTTTACTTTAAAAATACGTGTTGTTCTAAATATGGAAATTAGTAAAGATTTGGCACTTAACTGTTAGATTACACGGCTAACAGGGCACTTATGAATATCGAAAAGTTGAACTCCGTATTAAAACTTTGACATAGCTTTCCCTTGCTTTGAAAGACAAATTACAAAACAGCTAGGTAGTACATCCCAGAACTTAAAATATCCTCCTGAAGAGGGAGAAAGGGTTTCTTTCAAGAGAATATTTTAGATAACTTTGTTCAGAATTGAATTTTCACACATGCCTCAGAACTTAAACTGTTATTGTTAGGTTGCCTGTGGCTTAATTAGTGCTAATTGATTTTGTGATTGGCAGATATCTTAATAAAATATAATTAAACATGTTGGAACACAAGTAGTATGCAGCTGGTTCTTATCTACATTACTTATTCTAGAATACCTTGAACTAATCATGAAATCTTTATTGCTGTTAGTGATATTGTTCAAAAACCTGAAAGTGTTTAGATATTGGTTTGGTTTTCCTTTTTATATTTAAAATACAAATCTCAGATGTAATAGTTTCTGGGGAAGAATGCATGTAACATAGTGAGGTGTTAAGATTTAGTATAGTTAGCAGTGACTGAAACCCCTCTGATTTCTTGATTATGGTATCTGGAAGTTGATTCAAGTCTGCCATGACACAGAACTCTGGAGCCTTTGCTGGATCTCTGTGGCTCCTCCTGTGTGTGCATGTGTACAAGTGAAGCATGGAGTTATTGGTTAACAGTTGTCTGGGATAAAAGTATTCTTTTGTTCTCTATGTAATTTTGTAGATATCTTTGCTTAAATTGTACTTTCTTCTTGCAGTTAAGGCTGGAGGTATGAGAGTGTCTAAAAAGCAAGAAAACGGACCTGTTGAAAAAAACACTAAACCTGCAGGAAAAGAAAAGTCAAGGTACTGCAGTGCAGAGCCTGCTCCCCTCTGCCCCAGAGTTAAAGCTCGTAGGTAATGGCCTTTGAACAGACAGAAAACTCTTAGTTTCGGGGAGTTTAATTCTTAAATTAACTTGTGCAAAATATAGATAAAAGGCAACTTTGAATTAAGTATCAACTTAAAAAAAAAAAAAAAGGCAAACCAAAACAACAAAACAAGTTCAAAACCCAAGGACAGTGCCTTGCAATGAAAGGCAAAGGCTGAGTCTCATCTTTATTGTCATGTGTTATGGAAGAGAAATTAAAACAAAGTGTTGCCTACCTATGCCTAATAAAGAAATGATCAAACAGTTTCCAGTGAAATCAGAATGAATTTTAGGCTATCCACATTGTGAAGGAAATTAAACCTACATTGCCCACCCCTAACAAAGAGTCTGTTATGTCCTGTATAGGCTGTAGCCCATATTTCAATCTGAAATGTAATTTGGCTTTCTCTGTTTGCTACTTCATAAGGGTAATCAAGCTGTTTTGCCCCAAAAATGAAGGCATGGTTCTGCTTTTGAATAAAGTAGCAGTGATGGGTTGATGTCATCATTAAAACAAGTATTTTTCTTACACCTTTTTCGAACACAGACTGAACATTTTTCTAAAATATATGCACTTTTCTTAAATGTCACTTAACAAAAAGTTAAGTTGACTAATATAGGGATATGAGGGTATAATTTGAATGACTTGTGGTGTTCCTGAAGTTTTGACTGATTGTGGGTTTTTTTTGGAATTAGCAGCTTTTTATTTTCACTTACTGCCAGTTGCCTGGGTGTAATTTTGCTGCTGTCTTTTTTGTAGTTGTAGTTACCTGATGGCATAAGCAGATCTTGAATAACTTGTATTTGTCAATGTAGTAAACTGTTGATTGCTGAATTGCAATGTCAGTAGGGAATGTCTTGCCTGATCCACAGAGCCATTAACTTAACTAAAGCAGTCTCTGCTTTTTCAAGAGTCACATTTACAGTATCTGTTTTTCATAATGATTTTTCTCTACTCCATTTTAAGCTACAGAGGTGTTAGTGGATATAATGATATCATCAGAAGAATGTGCAATCCAAAGTGCTTTCTGCTGTTCAGCTAAATTATTTCATATCCACAGATTGTTTATTTGTGGAATACTGGTAACATGGTGGTCTTCATTAGAATATGGAAAAATTAATGGGATAATCTTGTGAAAAAAGTTCTTGCTTGACAAATAGCTGCTGTGAAAGTAAACACTCCCTAAAAGCAGCAGGTGAATTTTTTTCATGGGTCTGGGTTGGAATCAAGAAAATTACAAACTTGGATTTTGTAGTTCAGGATATTAGTGCTCAGCTTCTGTGAAGCTACTCCACAGTGTACAAAAAAAAAATCCTTTTTGAGATATTTGATGATATTTCATGTACAGATTTTTGAGTAAAACAGCCTGTAACACAGATTTTGTGGTGTTCAATTCTGAAAAGTATGCCTTTTTGATATTATATAATTTTTAATGTGATTAAAGGTTTTAGCTCCAAGACCTAAATTTCTATTGCAAAATATTTTGTATTAGGTCTGAAAATCGAAGTGACAAAGTGTTTCTGTGAGATGGACATGCTAAATACTTTTTTCTTCTGTTTTACAGTGCTATTGTCAGTTTTTCAAAACCTCAGAACATGGGTGTCTTGGTAACAGAAGCACTGAGCAAAGTAAGTAAGTCTGGAAGAACAAGTCAGGGGTTCTCTATAAAGCTAGACATTACAAAAAGTGAATTATCCTTAAGCTGCTGTCATCTGGCAGTTGCAGGTTTGTCACCTGCCACTAAATGTTGTTGAAATAATCTCTTTCTGTAGTGGTTGTGTGGCTGGGGGGCTCCATGTGTGAAAAGGACCTGCCCTCTTTCTGCTGGTGGTGCAGACCTACACCTGCGCTTTGCCAGAGCCCAGTTCACAGGCAGCTCTCGGATTCCTGTGGCAATCTGAAGAGCTGGCAGTCACCATCCCCTTGTTACACACTTGCAGTCTTCAGATTCTGAAGTATCCAAGAGTTTCTCATCCCTTGAGCTCAGTAAAACATGAGTTGCATCATTTCAACACGAGCCTTTCATCAACAGATGTGTTTATAGCTTTAGTCTGTAGATCTTGATTTTTGGCTCGGACTTATTTAAGAAGAACAGATTCAGCTGATCTGTTTCTTTCCCCCTTGTCCCCACCTCCTCTGTTCTGGCCTACCATTTCCTTCTCCTGCTGGTTTCCAGAATCTCATACCTCAGTAGTTTAGAAAGTGATAATTAGATACTGCAATGATGATGATTTTGAATCTGGGAAAATGAGAATTTGAATCAATTCACTGTTAACTCTGAAATATCGATTATTTGCTGTGCTTTCCTTATCTCGGCAGCTGATTTTATGAACTTCTAAGAAAGGGAAAAAAATAAAAGTTTACTGAAGATAGTCAGATTAATATCACTTTAAAAACATAAATATAACTAAATGTACTGAATCACCATGGGTTTTATGTATTGATCGCTTGAAATTTTGTGGATTTAAGTTTTACTGCTGTTTTTAAACTACATGATGAAGTTTAGGAAGAGAATAATTGAAAAACTGTTCTATCACAACCTTTTTCTCCCTCGTTTAATGTTACAGATGAGCCACAAAATTCATGCAGCAGCATTACAAGTGGCTCACCAAAAGCCACAGCCTACCTTGGAGAAGTTCATACTGCCTAAAAGAATTTACATTATTCAACAGCCACGGAAGTGTTAAGATACTCGTTAAAATATTCGTTTACTTAAAAGTGAGTTCCTATTTTATATAGCACTTAGTACACTGTGGTGAAATGCTCAAAAGCTGTATGCCTTGTATCTTGCTATGTTTCTGTTACTGACAATAAAACATTAGAAGAGTTACTAAATGTACTCAGGATTTATTGCAATATCATGGCTTCTTTCTAACCTGGTGTTTCTAGTGTGTAGTAATTGCTCAATGCCAAAAAGTCCTTAACAGCTTCACTTACTGAGTTTTGACTGAAGGAATGGAAACTTATCAGCCCTGTTGTTTTTTGTTTGGGTTTTTTTTTTAATTTAATGATAGCAAAGCTGAAGTGAACATGATACTACTAAAGCAGGTCATGACTGAAAGGCACAGGGTGTGCTGAATGCATGCCTTAGGCTTTTACTGCATGATAAGTAATTCAGAAAGTCCTAGGAAAGATTTCCATGCAGTGGAAAGAAATATTTCTTGCTTGCATTCCTTTCTGTAGGGAAATCCAGCTCCTCTTCAGGGATCCAGCAAGCAGGAAGAACTGAGTGGGAACAGTCTGTTTGAACCTGTTTGGGGCTAGGGCAGATGAGTGAAGGAAGTACCTGACTTGGAGATGAACCCTTTGGATAGGAGGACAGGTACCAAGGAGGAGCCAAGGTGCAGAGAAGGCCATGATTTGAGTGTGGAGTTAGGGTTGGTAGAATGGGGGATGAGTCTGAGCATGGACTGGTAGCAGTGGGGCCCTGGGGGGTCAGGCTTAATAACAGGGAAGAGCAAGTGTAAATCCCAGTGCAGGCAGTTCCCCCCAGCCATGTCCTGCTCACACTGGCAGCAGGGATGGTAGAGAGAGCCCTGCTGTGGCCACAGAGTGATACTGTCCTGCTGTGTGCTGAGTCCTCAGAGCTGGCCCAGAGGCACACACAGCCAGGCACACCCATGGTTACACTCTCAGGCCAACAGCAGATCTTCACTCCATGCTTTAAGTTGCTGGTGGCGTCCCCTTTCTCCATTTCAGTTTCAAGGTGTAGTGTCCCAAGAAGTGCTGGCACATGCTGGGTGGGCAGGGGGGCTGAGCTAGGGGTGTGGCTTTTACTATGATGATGACTTAACAAACAAAGTCAATGGCTGGGGCAAGTTCTCACCACAGAAGCAGTCAAACTTGGATATATAATATCCAGGATAAGAAGAGTGTTATCTTGTTTTCCCCCTTTCAAGGACCTAGGCTATCAGTTTTGTGTTTTCTACATTCCTGTGGCTGTTCCTTCCATTGCTTAATTGCTTTGTTCTTTATCTTGTTATTTGGAACCTTGTTCCTGCTATTCATCAATTTTCTACTTTTAGACTTATGATTCTTCTTATACATATTGTAAGTCTCCCTTTGCAGCCATCACGTGTTTCCTGAAATGAATCACAGGGATGATAAGGTAAGTCAACTGCTTCATGATTTCCTAAGTGTGAATATACAGTGCTACAGTTAAGACAAAACTTATTAGTATTCGGAGAAAAACAAGTTGTGTCTGTTGTTCCTCTCGGAGGAGTGAGGGTTTGCCCATGTAGCCAAGCTAACCATCCTGCACAGGGAGCACTTGGGAATGGTGAGCACATGGGCTTAGTGCAGAAGTATTAATCTGCATTACTAATTCCACCCGTTTAAGAAACCAAGATGGATTAAACAACAGTTGTTGCTGATCGGCATTTTTGATCACATACGGTCCAATTTCAAAAATTCGAGGATACAAAATTTTCTCTTCCTCTTTGATTGGGGCAAATCTAGTTGTTTTGGTTTCAGTAATATCTATTTTGAATTTAAATGTTAGTCCCACATTATGGTGGTCCCAAAGGCATACCACAAAAACAGGTTTAACCAGGGTAGAATTGTACCAACAATCTCACCTTTTGGCAGCAGAAAATCTTTTGCTCTTGGTTCTGTTGTTCTGTTAGACATAGTAGTCTGTGTGGCTTTTCCATGTGTAGATCCACTGATCATTCTGGAGCCTGTCTGAATTTTTTCTTAGGTCATTCCCCTCAGGAGAAGAACCCAACTATTTCTGTCCCACCCCCCCTCATGTTCTGAGTACACTTCAGCTCCATGCATAACCAGAGTAGCTAAATTGTACCCTAAAATTCACACTTCATGTGAAAAGTGATACTCAAAGAATGTCATTTGTCAATGGATCATCTTTTCATAGTGTCCTTTCCACATGGCTGTCGCTGTTATCCTGGACAGCAGCAGCAACATAGTTTATGGATATTGAAGTTAGGTATGGGGTTTGGCAAGCAGCTAGTTGTGTTTTTGTATCCAGTGTAGCACACTTCCACTCCCCAGGCTGGCTCTGTGGCAGGGAATATCAATAGGAATGTCAGTGATCAAACAGGGCTTGAGTTAAAGCTGTCCATGTGTCAAATGATTATTCATGCTTTCAAGGCCAAAAATAGCACAGTGCATCTAACATACCAATGGCTGATACATGCTTCCTACAGAAAGAATATTAGTAAAATCTTCAGAATTCTAATCTTTGTCCTTGTTGTTTCTGAAGAAAACCAATAGCCAGTGCAAAGTTGTGGGATCTGATTCTGGGGGCCTCTTATGACCATTACTTTCCGTGAAGTTGAATGTTATTTAGCTGTTCAAAGCAGTACCTTCAGGGAGGGATGGTGTGCTTGGTGTAGAAGGGAGCCCTTTGTGGCATAAATCAGGCAGCTGTACAGTCATTGCTGTGGATGGGACAGCTCTGCTAAAAGGTCCTGGCACTGCTGCTCCAGGGGGGTGTGGGAGGGCCCAATGGCCTGGCACAGAGCAGCTTTGATGGAAAGGATCTTCCAGGTACTGCCTGGGGAAACCTTTCAGGGGTAAAAAGAGGCCCTAACAAGAATTTGGGAGGTCTAGTTTTGATAAACTCAGTACCGTGGGTTTACTAAATATAAAGAAGTGCAAGCTCCTCTTCTGCTGTAGGAGGGATCTTGTGGAGCAGGAAATCCTGGCAAGTGATCTGTTCTATGTCCTGCTCTGGCAGGTGGTGTTGTCCCCTGTGGGGGCATTACAAGAAGTTTCATACTTGTTTTTTGTGTCAGTAGCACTTACTGGTCTTTGGAGGGATTCTGAGAGATTTGTATAGACAACAAACTAAACTGTTCTGCTTAAATATATTTTATAATTAGGAACCTTCTTAAATATATTTTATAATTAAGAACTTAATGTAATTAAGAGCACTTTTCAACAAAGGCACTCTTTTCTTCACCTGTTGCATTTTGAGAGGTGCACTGTCAGATGCGTTATTTTCTCTGATTTATTTACCTCTTTATTAAGGTATCCTGCTTATGGTAGTATGCTTAATAACAAGAGCTAAGCAAGAAATGAAAACTGTATTTTGAACTTCTAAATAGTAGACAACTTCATTTTTCATCCTGTTTGTACCTTCCATTCTGTGTCATTTCAGTTTGTGTTTGCCCCATCATTGATGATACTGCGATGAATCTGTTGTGCTTTCTGTTGTAAGGAGTTTGTTTTATTTAGTTCAAGCTTAAATCTTTGCTTTCATTATTTAAATATGAATTGCCACTAAGTTCAGAACATAAGGAACAAAAACAGTAGGTTTGCTAGAAGAATCAAGCCCCTGCAGGAAGCCTGTTTTCAGGCTTCTCAAGGACTGTTCCCAATGATGGAGGCATTACACGAGAAGGACATGCTTTCAGGAAAGTATTTCTGCTGCTCATCTTCATGTCACCATGTTGGAGGGCACGGTGTTGGTTAATATGCAGTTGTTTTTATGTGTAGCCCTCAAAACACCTTACAGAGATGGGAGTGACTGAAGCCAAGTGACAAGGAAAGCAGTGGAAACACATTCAGTGCATGTTGGTTGGTTCAGTGTCTTGCTCAGGTTGGTAATGTCACATGTGCTGTTTGATGACCCGAGACACAGATGTCCTGTTGGACTTCTCTGCAGGGAGGAGTTTCCTCCGGGGCGAGGAAGAGTCTCTGCCCTTAAGCACTTGCCACTCCCAGGTTAGGTGGTGCTTGACGGAGCTGCTTGGGAATTTGGGAGTGTGCACCTTGTCACTGGTCTGGCAGGAGCTGCTCAGTGCACAGACTGAGGCCAGAACTGAGAGGATGTGATTTCTGACTCCTGTGTGAAGCTGCAGCAGATGAAATGGCAAAGAAATTACACATGGCAAGTCTGGGGAGTTGCAATACAAAAGAGAGCTATAGCACAAGACTTAATTTTAATAAACAAATATTAGCTGCTGTTTAAAGCCTCTGTCCTTTTCAGGATGTACTTGTTCAGCCTGTTCCTCTCTAAGTGGTATGCACAGATTTGCAAATCATTTCAAGCACAGTAAATCCTGCCTGGCTTACCAAGCCCCCAGAGTTCTGGTGAGTGGTGCATACATAAGCTCAGTCATTTCCTGAGCTCACTGTTAGGTCCAGCAGTGGAGGAGTATATTTCTACAGTGTAAAAAAAATAAAATAGTTCATTGATCTAATAAGTGTCATCTACAATACTCATATTGTAATTGTTTTCTGTGGTGCACAACTCCCACACCAGGTTCCCAGGAAAGCACCTCTTTGTTTGGAAAGCCTCGCTGTTGTTGATGACCCTTTTCCCACATACTGCCATTCTTCCTGTTCCCTTCCAGCACCTTCTCACTGCTCTCCCCTCCTCAGCCTGCGTGGGACAGGCATTTGCAGCTGCTCAGGTGGTTGGAGGAACGTACACTTCATGTGTCTGCACAACTACTGAGTTACATCCTTTTGAAGAGGTAGGTGTCCTGGATTCTGTGCACATACTGGGATGCCTTTTTTTTCCTCTTCAGGCCTATAGCACTGTCTGACACTTTCTTGTCCTCCCCCCTGTCAGCTGAAGGGCTACTGCTCTGCCAGCACTCTGCAGAACACACTATTGAGCCAGGCCTGTGCTCTTAACTGTTCTCAGTCTTGCTCAGCTCCTGCAAACATTAAAGGCACTTTGATGTCCCTGCTGAAACCAGTCATAGTTTTATTCAGCAAAACCGTGCAGAGAACAATGATCCAACATAACAGCATGTTTATTCTTCTGGTCATACCTGGCCACAGATTCTACTTCTGGCCGTTATACCACGCTTGCTCTACTTTAATGAAAAGCTTCTAGAGAATTTTATT